ACTTTTTCAAAGTAAATTTTTAAAAAAAGATTCATTTCTATTGATATCATTGTGCTTCAACTGACAAAATTAAACGTTTTCCAATGTAAGTGTTCTCACCACGAAAAACCAAAACACATGAGTGGGTACTTTTTTGTACGATTCGGTTGATCGGTGATCATGAATTCCGGGATGTGCTAAATTTTGTCTATAAAGAATATGTATACCTGACTATGTTTACGAGGCAGATCGACGTAATATTTCTATCTTGTTAAATTTTTTTATCTGGAGATGGTTTGTTTGTTTGTATGTTGTTTAACGTCTCTCCCGAGATTTTTTCACTTATATGGAAACGTCACCACTTGCCGGTGGAGAGCTGCAAATTTTGTCCTGTACTCGACACTTACGGTAATTTAGCAGTGTGGAATCTTTTCCTGCCAGCGCCTACTGCGACACGGGACCTCAGTTTATACGGTCTCATCCGAAGGACCGGTCTCCAGGTCCCACAGTGGGATTGTAACCCGCGACGTAAGGATCAACTCCTTACTTCGCGACTCTAGAGAAGACGCTCTAACCTGCACTGCGCCACACGGGTAACTCTGGAGATGGTATTGTTAATCGTATACTTAAGATGTTTTTAATTAGTTGACTGTGTGTATCAGATATAGTTATTTGATTGTGTGTGTCACATGTGGTTAGTTGACTGTGTGTTGGAGGTGAACAGGTAACCATGCATGTCTTTAAGAAGTGATAATAGTTGGCTGTGTGTGTTGAACGTGCTTAGTTGACTGTGTGCATTATATGTGTTTAGATGACAGTGTGTGTCAGACGTGCTCAGTTGATCGTGTGTATCAGTGGTGGTAAGTTGACTGTGTGTGTACTTAATGTGCTTAGTTGGCTGTGTGTATTATACGTGTTTAGATGACAGTGTGTGTCAGACGTGCTCAGTTGACTGTGTGCTTTAGAAGTGTTCAGTTGATAGTGTGTAAATGAAAGTGTTCAATTGGTTGTGTATCAGTTAAGTGTTCATTTGGTATGTGAAAAATCAAGGAATAAAATAAACCTTTTTCGATACATATTAAGTCTGATTCTATGTTTAGTTGTTATTTTTAGTCAAACAGATAACATTTCTTCCCTCTAACTCCCTTTTACAAGAAGTGTCCATTTGCATGTGGGAAGTTAAGGTGTTCAGTCGGCACGTCATACACGTATGTGTGTGTGTGTGCAATTGTTAACTGTGTCGCGGAGTTCACGAGTGAGAACTACACAAGTAAGCAAAATATTAACAATCATGACTTCAGAGGTTGTAAACATAATGTTCAAGTCGAATAATTTGAAGAACAAAGATCTTCAATCTGACCAGAGTAAAAGGGTATCTGATTTCGAACTTTATATGGCGATTCATGATAAGATCAGAGATAACATTCGCTGTATTCAGAGTGATAGAGATATACAGGGTGTTTCAGAAAACATGCAACCATTTGCTTTCCTCACTTTATTGATATGCAAACAGAGATATATAAAAGTTTTATTTAAAATTATAGAAAATAGGCCTAAGATTTTATTGATAACAAAAATTTGGGAAATAGTTATCATTTAAATTAATTATGACGTCATATTTGACATCATTGAAAAATAGGTCATATCATTCTGAATATGAAATTTACTAAAGATCAATCATTAGGAGTTTTGACACTGTTTTATCAAAGCATGTCGCTAGTTCCTGTGATTGCTTAGGACAATATAGATAAGAATCCATAATACAAAGAACTTTAAAAAAGTTGTACAATTTTTTTAAAAAAATTTGGAATATAATGGAACGTAAGTGATAAAAAAGGAAAAATTGGAAGAACGAAGACAATAGAACACATGAAAACATTGAGAATGTTAGAGACGTTGATTCAGTGACTCCCATGAAATCCTTAAGTAAAATAACTGACCTTGTAAACGAATGCAACTCAAAAATGAAAAGTCGTGTATATCGGATGCTGAAATATAATTTGAATCTTACACGTTAGACTAGGTGAAACAAATATTTGGAGGATTATTCTTCCCTTCCAAATCCGAAAATCTGTATTTGGCCTCGACATTCACTTGACTTAACCCCCCCCCCCCCCGACTTATCTTTTGGGGCAGTTAAAGGTCACAGTTTATAAAAAAAAATACACACCTCATCACAACACATGAACTCTAAATAGTTTTTAAATAATGAGTCAAGGTTCATAACAAAGAAATTTTGTGCACTAGTTATGATTATGAAAAATTTCCTGCATCGATTACATTTATTCATTCAGCAGAAATGACGTCATTTAGAACATATTTTCTGACTAGGTGAAATTTTGAAAGTTTTCTTTATTCTTTCGTAACTCATTATCTATTTGCCGGAATAATTTTATTCTTACAAGAATAAATTTTGTAATTGTGCCTTTTAATTTAATATGTTGGTGGATGGTATTGGATGAAGCACGAATAAAATTAAGTCAATCAAAATGGTTGCATGTTTTCAGAAACACCCTGTATATATAGCGAGTGTACCTAAAATGTAAAGAGAGTAGGACAAGGATTTGAGCTCTGTGACCATTCTATACAGGTTTATGACTCAATCCCTACTCTACTGGAGCAAAAAGTCCTAATGACCCAGTCCTAAAGATCACGGTCAGCGGTCTGTCGTTATCTGTTGATGGCAGTACTATTCTTGAAATGTAAGATAGCTATCAAGTAGACTTGAAAAGTGAAATTAAATAGGAAAGATCAAACACCCAACGAGCAAGCTTGCTTAACGGCAACCGATTTCTTTACATAAAGCCTCTGGAAACAGGAAAATCACTGCGTAGATTTGTAAAATGTGCTGATATCAAATGTAGATTGTTTCACTATGGACAAGAGAAGGGCGAGTCTCAGATGCAATGCTACAACTGCCCTGCTGGGACACTGGACACACAGTCAAAGACTGTACAAAAGAAATAGCGTGCCGTGTATGCAAACAACCTGGACACAAATTGGGATCAAAAGATTGTGAGCATTACAACGAAACCAACTGATAGAATAATTGTATTCCAAGGAAAGGAAAATCCTTTATCCTATTTTTTGCCATGCGATGTCAAGGTTTTCGGGGAAACTAACAGATCAGCTGAGCATGCATACCAGCTTACTGAAGTTTTTCGTTCTGAACTTTAACGCTGCTGAAAACATCTGTAGTGCTCCAACAGCTCTGGAGGCCAAGAGAATGGGAGATAAATTAAAGAATCCTGAAAAGTGACAAGACCAGAAACAAGCGATAATGGAAGTGATTATACATTCTAAAGTTGCACAAGTTTAAGAGGTTCGCGAAAAACTGGAAAATTCAGATGCAAACACAATATTCGGCGAAGCCAATAACGATATCTTCTGGGGAATAGGACTTTTTCCAGAAGCCACCCTCCATACAAATCCAGATAAATGGCCGATTGAGAACAGGATAGCACTGATTATGAATAAGACCGCATCAAAATTTTCCAGGAAACTTAGAAGTAATTCACCGTGAGGAAGAATCCTGACGACAACCAGACTAATCTGGACGGCTTGATACGGAAGGCAAGAAGAAACTCTAACAGGAAGAGAATTAAAGGATCAGGGGTAACTAAGCATATCTATATACATGTAACTTCAAGTGAATGGATACAAACTTACTATCCGTAGGAAAGTTATTCTATCATTTTTGAAACTAGATCTCACCAGAAAACCGGTGGGAAAAGTGCAGATAATGAGTAAAATCAAGTGTGAACTGAGGCACCCCCTGGAATCCAAGATGGCGAGTTGCGAACCTTGTGTCTTTTTATACACAGAAATATACTCGGGTAGTAATTTTATAAATGCAAATTTCAGTGATTTTCGATTTTATTTTAATAAATGTATTTAGACAGACGTAGAAAAACACACCATCCTGTTATCCAGCGCCTATGGTTCAACACATTAAGCAGATTAAACTTTGGAGAACATTTCATTGACATGATTAAAACCCTCTATAACAATCCTACTTTAAAAATTAAAAATAATTAAAAATTCATTTAAAAAAAATTAAAAATAATTGTTGGATTTCAAAATTCTGTTCTATGAAAAGGGGAATACGTCAAGGATGACTGGTGTCTGCGCTTCTTTTCATTTTCTTATTAGAAATACTTGCTACCCAAATTAGAAACAACTATTATATACGTGGCCTATCATTGAATGAAAATACTTCAAAAAGCATCAAGATACTTCGAAGCCCTCTTGTGGCCCCGCCCTACCCCCAGGGATTATGATGTGAACAAACTTGAATCTAGAGTACGTAGTGAAGCTTTTACATAAGTTTCATCTTTTCTTGCCTAATGGTTCTCGAGAAATTTTTTTTAAAAAGATGCCATCATTTTTTTTACGAATTCTTAATTATCTCCCCTTGAAAGAGGGCGTGACACTTCCTGTGAACAAACTAAAATCCCCTTCTCCCAAGGATGCTTTGTGACATGTTTGGTTGAAATTGACCCTGTAGTTCTTTAGAAGAAGTCGAAAAAGTGAAAAGTTTACAGATGACAGACGACAGACAGAAGCCGGACACTCTTTAATCAAAAAAAGCTCTCTTGAGCCTTCGGATTAGGTGAGCTAAATAAAACTCTCCTCGGGAATGTTTTCCCTAGATAACAACACCATTTCAATATATTTTTGTTACACAATACACTACATAGAGTTTCCTATAGAAGTATATGTACATATGTTTGTTCACGTATGTACATATGTACAGAGATTTCAAACTCTTATGAAAATGAAAAACAAAATAGGTGGCTATAAAGCTGATAAAGTTCTTTGCTTACTCACACTATTAACTGTCCAATACAAACATTTTTATCGGTGAAAGGGGGTGTTAACGGACTCCGTCATTCAGCTTCCCTATAGTCTATGAAGAAGGTATGTTCAATATCTATCAATGTTAACAAATACGTTGAAAAATACAATATTTTCAAAGAACTAATATGTACTTTTTTATTTCTGACTTCCAAGGAAAAGACATGGCGTCAGAAATAGGTATCAGCCCACGGGTTCAGTTAAATACGTGTGCAGATTGTGGAGAACCTGCTGTGTGTACATGTTCTTTATGTGACACTAAAATGCATATGTGTATTAAACATATGAATATCCACATGGATACCGTTCACATGCTATCCGAGAACACAAAATGTTCTCTGCATTTGAAGAACTCGCTAAAATGTTTCTGTAGAAGTTGTTGTCTGCCCCTGTGTGATAAATGTGTGATAGACGGAGGCCATGTTTCCCATAAAAGAAGTGAACTAGCAACTGTCTTAGAATTCTTAAAGGAAGCAATATCAAATGAAAACAGAGAATTGATCACTCACATTAAACCGTTCTATCAAAATATTTTAGACACCACAGAAGAAAAATTAAAGGAAGTACCGCTGATCTATGACAAAGCGAAAAAAGCTATCAAAAATTTTGGGGACTTTTTGCACAAGGTAATTGATAATGCTGTAGACTCTATGCATACAAAACTAGATGAGAAAGAAAAGAAAGACATGAGAGAGCTACAGAATCAAAAGGACTTTTACTCCAAAAAATTTCAAAAATTAGATGACACTCTTCTGCATAACAAAATGTTACTTGGCTCCAAAAATGCAGCAGAAGTAGCAGATTTTAGTTCAAGCCTTGCCTACTTTCATTTGAATCCTAGCCAAGTGAAATTAGAGTTGCCTTACTACAAACCGAATACAAACAATCAAGAAATTCAAGAAAAATGTTTGGAACTTTTTGGAAAAATATTACACACCTCTGATAAAAATTTTGTCCCTAATTTTAAATTGAATAATGCTAAAGACATTGAAATGCAACTGTTGGAGAAGCCAGGTATTTTGAAAATCCTTTGGAAATCCAGATTTCCACCAGATTCCCTCGATCAGAAATTATACAGTTTGTCTTGTATAAACCCAGAAACAGTTCTAATCGGTGGAAACGACTGTATGCTTTTCAAAAGAGCTTTAAATTACAATGATTCGCAGCATCTTCAACCCTTTAAAATCACTTCCAAAGGTTTTTACTTTGCCTTATCATCGACTGGTGCGATATTCTTCTCAGATAAAAATGACAGATCTGTGAAAAGAATAAAAAAGCGTAAATCTAACAAAATTTCTACGTTTCTGGAATTTCACCCCTGGGAACCAAAAGGGATAACTATGACTCCCTATGATCACGTACTCATTTGCCTGTATAGAAAAAAACACTCGAAGGTGGTGCAGTATGCTCAAACTGGAAATATTGTACAGGAAATCCAATATACCAATGAAAAACTTTTATATGAGCATCCCATGTTTATCTGTTGCAACAAAAATGGTGATATTTGCACAGCAGATTATAAAAAACGAGCCGTTATCGTTGTAGATCAATTTGGCGTCTTTCGGTTTTCTTACAATGGCCACACACTACCAGAAAGTGGCAAAACCTTTACTCCCTGCAATATGGCTACAGATGACCTGTGCAACATCGCAATTACTGACTTTGAGAACCACAAGATCCATCTTTTGGACAAATATGGGCAATTTCTTAGATTTCTAAACCCAGATGCGGAAATCAGACATCCTAGAGCCATTGCCATTGATAAGAAAGGGAAAATGTGGCTTGGGGAGGGTAAAACTGGACATATTAAAGTCTTGCAATATTTGAAATAAGTACGGGGTTATCAAAAAGTTCGTGGATTGATGCGATAAACTTAATACTACGAAGTCTGTGCTTACAAAATTTTTAAGGAACATACAACAGAAAAGTTTAAGAAATGTCGAAAATTTTAGCTTGACACGGTTAATCATATATTAATGTCTTTTAAATGGTTGTTTATCGTCGAAGGAGTCGTGTTTCTGACAGATATGTGTTTTAAAGACTGTTGTTAGCAATGAGAGGAGAACATCAATTTAAGCTAAATAAAAAACTGCATTTAGCATATATAAGTTATTGTGCAATTTTCATTTTTTCTTTATCTTATCTGAGACACTAGTTTAAGTTTGTTTTTTTTTTTTCATATATATATATATAGGGCAGTTATGTTAGATTAAGAGTTGTTGTAAAATGTGCTGTATAAATAAAATTAATTCATTACAAGTGTATCGGTAACGATCCTCTAATAAAACTTATGTCCAAATAACTGTATCTCTCTTCCTTTCTCAATGACCGTGTAGTTTAGGACAGCGCCGCGATAATTCCATCGGCATCGAAAGCAAATTTTTTAGACTTGCCTAGATGGCCGAGCGGTCTAGCGCGCTGTTCCTGTACTGCTAGGAGACAGATTCCGTAGGTCGAGAGTTCAACCCCGGGTTTGGGGCGGAAGTGGGTATCCTTATACAAGTGAATTTCTTTGTGCTTTCTATATTAATATTTCTTCACTTAGGGCAGATATGTTAGTTGTTGTAAAATGTGGTATATATATATATATATATTAGGGATGGCAATCGATTACAGAATTGCTAATCGGTTAATCGCAAGACGTTCCGACCGATTAATCGAATCAAAATACGCATTCTCTTTCCCAAGTAAATCTATTAATATACATAAGAAGACTAAAAAAGTTTGAAGTTAGAAACTTTCTGTTTATTTTCTTCATTTGGAAACTATATGTACATATATTTTTCTTCAATTTCAAAAAACAAGAAAAAAATAGGAAAACCATGAACATTGTCTAAGAAATCAGACACGGATTTTCCAGTGTAGATGTCACACAAGTTCATTCTGCGTTGTCACCATAATCAAAACTATGCTTGAACTTCCATTTAATTTACAATGCTTCTGCTAATGATATGACGTAATAGATAATGACAAAAGATAGACATACTAATTCACAGTGCTCAACGGTGATTTATTTATTATCATCAAAGAATTACGGGAGATTCTGGGTAACGACATGATGTTTTTAAAAACAGTATTAATAAAACACTTCCCAAACTGACTAATTATTCACTCATTCCTGAGAGCCACAATTACCTCCAATTTAGCTTTCATAATAAGATGTGTAAATGCTAAGTTATCAACTTTCTATACAGAGGTTTCCTTTCTAAATATAAATTTTAAGAAAATTGCGCTCAAACTTACATATATTTTAGTTTTTCCGACTAACCGATTACAGACTTTCTAATCGATTACCACCGTTCCGACCGATTAATCGGTTAACCGGTTACAAATTACCATCCCTCATATATATATATATATATATATATATATATATATATATATATATATATATATATATATATATATATATATATATATATAACGTCCCATTCAAGAATTTTTCACTCATATAGAGACGTCACCGTTTGCCGGTGAAGGGCTTCAAATTTAGACCTATACTCGGAACTTAGGGCCATTGAGCAATGGGGGTTCTTTATCGTGCCAACGCCTACCGTGACACCGAACCTCGGTTTTTCAGTTCTCATCCGAAAGACCTGTGACTTTCACTTCTAGTGCCGGGCGCTTGGCGAAGGAACAGTCACTACCTACGTTTATGTTTTAGGTTTGACACGGCGCGGCGAACCCGGTGTAGCATAATATTTTGATACCGCGACATTTTTAAGCCGGATTCACTTTCTCTCTGCGATATAATGAACCCCCTATAGAATATTGAACCTCAGTGGTTCAAAATATTGTGGTTATAATATATTGAGCCCGGATTCAAGATATTATGGTTGTGAAATAAGATCCTCCCCCAATTCTTATTATATTTTAGGTGGACATTAGGGATTCCTTTATTAGTCTACAGTTAAGGGAGAGGTTCAAGATATTATGACCATGAAATATTAATCCCCCTATCTTTTTAAATTTAAGGAAGAGGGGGTTCAAAATATTATGTTTTTTAAATAAAGAAGGGATTCAAGATATCATGACATAAAAATACTGATCCCCCTACGTTTTTTTTAATTTTAAATGAGGGATTTCAAGATAAGATGGTTGCAAAATATTGCAAATATGACAATAAATATAAAACCCCTACTTTTTTAATTAAGAGAAAGGGGGTTCAAAAATTATGCTTGTTAAAATAAGGAAGGGGTTCCAGATTTTATGACCCTATAATATTGATCTCCCTATCTTTATTCATTTTAATTTAATGTGGGGGTCAAGATATGATGGAATGTTTGGGGGAAAATCTTTTTCTCAAGAACTCCTTTAACTATAGTTCTGCCAGGTATGTCATTAAGGGTGATGTGAATAAAGTTACCAATGAGAACTTTAAATCACTCATTTTAAGGTGTTTAAAATTTAAGGTGCTTTAATTGCCGATAAAATTACATATAAATATTATGAATTCAATCGAAGATTATACCAGGCGATGGGTCAAAAATGAAGACCTTGACACTTTGTCAGAATGGATAAAAAATAGAAGATGGATATTGCAATCTCGTATTATTTGTTGAGATTGATTCATTGATTGATTGTATGTTGTTTTACGTCCCATTTGAGAATTTTTCACTCATATAGAGACGTCACCATACACCGATGAAGGGCTTCAAATTTTGATCTTTACTCGGCACTCAGGGCCATTGAGCAGTGAGGGATCTTTATCGTGCCAACGCCTGCCGTGACACGGGACCTCGGTTTTTAAGGTCTCATCCGAAGGACCCGCAACTTTCACTACAAAGTGCCGAGTGCGTGGCGAAGGAACAGCTGCTACCTATTTTTTTATCGATTTAGGTCAGTCGCGGCCGAGATTCGAACTTACGACCTACTGAACACGGAGCGAGCGCTCTACCGACTGAGCTACAGTGACCGTTTAAAAGGTGAGAAGTAAAATGCATATTGACCATTTATTCTTCTGTCTTCAGTAATTCAGTAGTGTCAAAAGAATTAGATAGGTGTACTGGTTCCAACTAACAAATCATATTAAAATAATCTTTGATTATAAGGCTTATTACTACTTATTACAAAATTTCATCAAAATCCTTACAAACAAATATACATAGCGAGATCTAATAAATGTTCTAAGCCTCTTTCTTTACTCCTCACGAAAACATTAACAGCAATGAAGGAGAAAATTCAACAGTACATAACAACAAATTTAAGAAATGATATTAATCAAATATGGATACTACAAAAAATACTAAAAACTCTTTGAAAATTTGAACGCACATTTTTTTTTTTCAAAAATCAATAACATCAAAATCTATGACTTTTCTACGCTTTATACGATCATTCCTAACGATAAATCAAAAACTTTGGGCCATTTTAAAAAATTTTGCCCTCTCCCGACAGACGGACTAAAAATGGCCCGACTCGAAACTTTTTTAATCTCCAGGAAAAAGGTTTTTTTTATGCATTTTGGAAAATATAGTTTGAAAATTTAGCATTGATTTTGAAACTTTCTTGGGAAAAAAATTCTCACCTACCTACCGATCCAATTTTATCACCCTAAGTCGGGAGAGGGCAAGCAAACATTATTTTAAAGTTCGCCTAGCTTTTTGATATGATAGACAACTGTTTCTTCAATACAAATGGAATTTTTTATATATTGTGATTGGTCGTCTACAAAATACTTTGTGAAAAACCACTCTATTTCCACACACAAGTACTCTGTTATTGAAAGGATGCTAGATGGACTAGGCATTTTTTTTATCAATAACAAAGAAATGATTTTTTTTTCTTATTGCGCCTAGCATATTATTGTACATCAAGCCTACTTTTAGATGTTGAAGAATTTGTAGACTAATTGATGTTGTTTCTGTTCCTGTCCCACATGTCTTTTCCTAAAGACGTCTTACAGAACCTATAAAGATAAACTTACAATAAAAATCCTTTTTAACTGTAATCTTACAATCAATTTATCGAAATATCAAACAAGTATAGATAAATTATCTGCAGTCCATTTTAATTTATCGCGTATCAGTCTATCACATAACATATATCAGTTGCATATTTTATGGACTTTAACATTCAGATCCACCCAGTATTCAGAAGTATGTATCTTTCTTTTTACTATCTTTAATATGTTAAATGGAAAACATATGACTAAAGCTGTAAATATAGTAAGAAATAATTTCATTTTTCATTTTTTCCCTAGGTCAGTATTTAATTTCTGTGAACATGTCCAAAATAGGTGCAGGGGCTCAAGCTCCATTAAAAACGTGCTCCGACTGTTGTGAACCTTTTGTTTGTACTTGCTCTTTATGCGACGCTAATTTGTGTAGGAAACACATGAATATTCACATGGATACTGTTCACTTGCTATCGGACAGCACAACCGATAACACAAAATGTCCCTTTCATTCCAAAAATTCTCTTAAATGTTTTTGTAGAACTTGTATCCTCCCTTTATGTTATGAGTGTGTGACAGATGGTGACCATGTTTCCCATGAAAAAAGTGACCTGGAAGCTATTTTGGAATTCTTTAGGGAAGTTATTTCCAAAGAAAACCAAGAATTAATAAATCAAATAAAGCCCTTTTATCAAAAGATACTGGACATTACAGAGGAAAATTTGAAGAAAATAGCAACGAGCTCAAAAGAAGTGAAACACGCCATCAAACAGATGGGAGAATATTTGCATAAAGAAATTGAGAATGCAGTAGACAGTTTATATCAGACTATGGACCAAAACGAAAACGAGGAAATAGAACAATTGCAGAGTCAAAAAGATACATATTCAAAAAGAATTCATCAAATAGATGAAACTGTTGCACACAATCAGCAAT